TCACATACATATGGCAATGGCGGAATCGATTTTTCCAAGAATTAGTGGTGCTACAAGTGCCAAAGGTGCATGGGATACCTTGAAGGAGGAGTTTCAAGGCAGTGCCAAGGTACGTACTGTTAAACTTCAAACTCTTAGAAGGGATTTGGAGAATATGAAGATGAAGGACTCTGAGACCATTAAAGATTATTATTCTAGGTTAAGAGAAATTGTCAATCAATTGAGAGCCTATGGAGAAGATATTACTGAAAAAAGGGTGGTTGAAAAAGTATTAATTAGTTGGTAGAAAAATATGATCCAATAGTAACCACCATTGAGGAGACAAAAGATATCACCACTGTCAGTAATAGAGTTGGTGGGCTCTCTAGAAGCTTACGAAAAAAGACTGAGTAGGCGTGATGAAAGCTCTATGGAGAACACCTTTCAATCTAAGCTCAATATAAGGTCTCAGAAATCTACAAGAGATGAAAGAAAATTTAGAGAAAATTCCAAAAAAGAAGAAATTTGTAGAAACGATAAGAATGGAGGATATATTAGGAGAGATAAAAAAGGAAAATATCTTCCATGCCGTATTTGCAAGAAAACCAATCATCTTGAAAAAGAAATTGTTGGTTTCGGAGAAAACCACAATGTCAAAATTGTAAAAAACTTGGGCATGTAGAGAAGGATTGTCGTCTTAAGGAAAGACATCAAGATAATTACTCTGAAGAGAAGGATAAAAATAATTATTTATTCTATGCCTGTCATGCTGCTTCAAAAGTAAAGGGCGATACATGGTATTTGAATAGAAGTTGTAGTAATCACATGACAGGTAATGAGAAGATCTTTAAAGATATAGACAAGTCAGTCAAGTCACAAGTTAGGCTTAGCAATGGAGAATTGGTGGAGGTCGAAGGTAAAGGAACTATCACTGTTAAGACAAGGAATGGGACACAACTCATACAAGATGTGTTGTTAGTCCCAAGACTGGAGACAAATCTATTAAGTGTTGGGCAAATGGTGGAAAGAGGACATTCTCTACTTTTAAAGGAGACTCATGCACGATATACGACAACAAAAATAAAATCTTGGAGATTGCTAAGGTAAAGATGCAGTACCAAAGGAATTTTCCAATCATATGGCAATACACCGAGATAGCCATGAAGCCTCAGGAAGATGAATCATGGCTTTGGCATCAAAGATTTGGCTACTTCAATTTGCATAGGCTAAAAGTACTCCATCAAAAAGACATGATGAAGGATTTGCCATCCATTCAAGTGATGAACAACATATGCGAAAGATGCTTGCTCGGTAAGCAACATCAGAAATCGTTCCCATCAAGTGGTGCATGGAGAGCCAAGGCAATCCTGGAGCTCATACATATAGATGTTTGTGGACCAATGAGAATGACATCCTTCGAACAAAGCAGGTACTTTATTCTCTTCATTGATGATTTTACAAGAATGACTTGGGTTTATTTTATGCGTGAAAGGTCAGAAGTCTTTAAGATTTTTAAAAGATTTAAGAATCTCGTTTAAAAACAAAGCGGCCAAAGCATAAAAGTGATCAGAAGTGATAGAGGAAAAGAATATACTTCAAATGAGTTTGACAAGTTTTGCAAAGATGAAGGCTTGGAGCATCAGTTGACCATCGGCTACACCCCAGAGAAGAATGTAGTTTCAGAAAGGAAGAATAGAATAGTGATGGAGACGGCAAGATCAATGCTATTGGAACAAGGCATGCCTAAGATGTTTAGGCAGAAACAGTATATACTACAATCTATCTACTTAACAGATGTCCAACAAGAGTTGTAGAAAACAAGACTCCTATAGAAGCTTAGAATGGAAGGAAGCCATCAACACAACACTTGAGAGTTTTTTGATGCATTTGCTATGTTCACATTCTAGTAGAAAAAAGGTACAAGATAGAAGAGAAGACAGGGAAGGGAATATTCTTGGGATACAGTACACAATCAAAAGGCTATAGAATTTATAGCCTAAAGAGCAAGAAGCTAATTATTAGTTGAGATGTGGAGTTTGATGAAAATGCTGAAGGGATGAGAGATCCATCATATGGATGGCCGAACCCTGCAGGTAGGTTGGGTGAAATTTCAAAAATTTATCTCTCCCATGTGGGAATCACATTCCATATTTTAGAAAACTGCATTTTCAADGATCAATCTTGAACCTAAACTAGACCAAATCTGAAACCAAAAGGGAGTGGAGGGTTATACCTGATACGAAGTAACAATAACCTCCAATGAAGGTGTTCACGCCCAAGGATAGATCCAAAGATTGCTTCTACCGAAGATGACATGGTGCAAGATGAAGTAGAATCAACAGGACGAGTCTTCAACAAGAACCTGATTCTTCAGCAAGAATCTGATGGAGGGCTAGTGAGCACGACTTCTTATTACCTTTTCTACCAAAAGGTAATATCAAGAACCCTTCTTGATTGCTCCCACAGTGGAGATCGAACAGGTATGGCGGCAATAGCAGGAGAGAGCAAGAGCAGAAGATAAAAGCAGTCAAACTGTATGTTGTATTCTCTCTTAAATCAGTAGACTAATGGATGAACTGGAGGTTCACCATGCTCCTCTATTTATAGCCTTAAAGAGAGGTTCTCCTAATCCCATTAGGAATTTTCTAATTCAAATCTTGTATTTGGATCTGGACTCTCTTTAAGAGATAAGGATAATCCCTTATCTTATCTACAGATAAAGATCAGCCCTCCTAATCTAATTAGGAGTTATCCAAATCTTTATTTGGATATGGACTCTCTGAGTGGATAGGGACAATCCCTTATCCTATCTGTTGATCTAAATCCCAGAACCGCCCCTCTTTAATTATCTCATTAAGCCAGTTCGAATTGATCTTTAGGCCCATTAAGTCTATGTGCTCACTTAACCTCCAAACTATTGCCCAGTTGGATATCCTTGTATTGCGTGGGACCCAAACATTGATCTACACATCAGCCACATGGGTTCAGCCCAGCATTTGTTACAAGGCCAGGCCGAATTCACTGTAGGAGACAGTGAACTCCTGAGTCCATCACCATGGGCTCTTATTGGGCCCAACATTTACACTAAATGGTCATTAGGTCAAGCCACTTTATAAAAACCCAAGGATTGTGGGCAGATGCAAGATTAGCCCATCAGGTATTACCCTCAATGGTCTTACACTTAACCTCTCAGCCCATAATGATCAAACACTACCCGACAAAAGAGGACATCTCCCTCGGCTGCAAGGTACAGTGTTGCACTCTCTACTCACATGGATCCCGCGAATTAAAACATATTGCAAACATTTTGAAACCATAAGATATATATGTATATCCGTATATAAATATATTTTGCAAAACAAATTTCAACGGTTGAAATCAATTGTCGGCAGTTTTGGTTTCCATCAGAGAGAGTGCATCTCCGATCATTCACTTTGTCCGACAAAGGGGCTGATCCTATCACTATGATCACCCACTCAGATGAATTCTCGGACTGTCCCAACATACCCAGGTTTTGACCCCCTCTAAGGATCTCACTGATTGGCATATCAAAGACAACCCAATCCGACACCTAGTGCAGTATCATAATCGAGTCTAGGGGTCTGGTGTAACATTCCAATTTTGCCCATCTATCTCCAAGGTCCAGGGCAATACTGGAATTCTGGTCCGGTTCAGGGTTTCAAGAAAACCCACACTGCATGTAAGCCACCCCAACCAACTTGGTGGTACATCAGTGTCAGCCTTGGCAAGATAAATCTCCCCAGATCTATCCAACGGCTGTGAAGATTCTAAACTAACACGAGTCTCATAAGTGTCCAATTTAAGGGTATTACACAAAAACACACCATAATAACATGAATAAAATATGTACTTTATTCATTTACATTAAATATCATAATGTACATCATTCTGATTGGAGCTAAGGGCACATACTGTCTAACAAATGCTACATGGAACTGGGAAGAAGAAAAAGTGGAGAAACATAGCATCATGGTACCAAAATTACAAACACTAAGGCTACTCAATAATGAAAGAGAAGAAGGACCAAAAAGTCCTCAACCTACAACATCACCATCAACTCCATCATCAGCCACAATAGAAGAAGAAGAAGAACAAGAAGAGTCATCTCTAGAATCGCCACTAAGAAGGACGAGGCCACTCAGTGAGATATATGAGACATGCAACTTTGTAACTATGGAGCCTGAAAGCTTTGATGCAGCAGCAAAACAAGAAGTATGGGTAAAGGCGATGAAAGAAGAAATCACAATGATTGAGAGAAACAAGACATGGGAATTAGTGGATTGTCCTCAAGACAAAGAAGTGATCGGAGACAAGTGGCTCTACAAGACAAAGCTCAACTCTGATGGCTCAATACAAAAGCACAAGGCGAGGCTATGGAGCCTGAAAGCTTTGATGCAGCAGCAAAACAAGAAGTATGGGTAAAAGCGATGAAAGAAGAAATCACAATGATTGAGAAAAACAAGACATGGGAATTAGTGGATTGTCCTCAAGACAAAGAAGTGATTAGAGTCAAATGGGTCTACAAGACAAAGCTCAACTCTGATGGCTCAATACAAAAGCACAAGGCGAGGCTAGTCGCTAAAGGCTATGCACAATTGCCTGGGATAGACTACAATGAAACCTTTGCTCCGGTGGCACGTTTAGACACTATAAGAGCACTCGTAGCGTTAGCAGCACAGAAGAAGTGGAAGATCTATCAAATTGATGTTAAGTCAGCATTTCTTAATGAAGTGCTCTAGGAAGAAATATATGTAGAGCAACCTTAAGGGTTCACAATAAAAGGATGAGAAGACAAGGTACTAGGATTGAAGAAAGCTCTCTATGGCCTAAAGCAAGCACCACGAGCATGGTAAAGTTGGATTGATGGTTACTTCATCAATGAAGGATTTAGGAGGAGTCAAAGTGAGCCTACTCTATACATCAAGACCCAAGGTAACTCTAACACTCTCATTATTTCTTTATACGTAGATGATCTCACCTGTACAGGAAACAATGAGACAATGATCAAGGAGTTCAAAGAAGATATGATGAATACGTTCAAGATGAGTGATCTCAGATTAATGCACTACTTTCTTGGCATCGAGATCAATCAAGAAGAAGAAGTTATCTTTATATCACAGAAAAAGTATATAGAGAATCTACTGAAGAAGTTTAAGATGGAAGGATGCAAGACGGTCACTACACCACTTGTTACAAACAAGAGGTTCAAGAAACAAGATGGTTTAATGAAGGCTGATGCCTCAATCTACAAAAGCCTTATTGGGAGTTTACTCTATATCATAGCTACGCGGTCAGACATTATGTATGCAACAAGTTTACTCTCGAGTTTCATGCAAATCCCAAGTCAAGTTCACTATGGAGTAGCAAAAAGGATACTAAGATACATGCAGGGCACAAAAGAATACAGCATTTGGTACAAATCCACTACTAACTCAAGATTGATCGGCTATACTGACAGTGATTGGGCGGGATCAGTGGATGACATGAAGAGTACCTCAAGCTATGCTTCTCACAAGGATCTGGAATATTCTCTTGGGTATCAAAGAAGCAAGACACATTAGCACAATCATCCGAAGAAGCTGAATACATAGCAGCGGTAGCAACAAATCAAGCTATATGGCTAAGAAGAATACTTGAAGACATGGGTGAGCAGCAAAAGGAACCGACAACGATCTATTGCAACAATAAGTTTGTTAAAGCAATGGCAAAAGATCCAATATACCATAGTAGGACGAAACACATTGCAATCAAGTATCACTTTTTACGATAGGCAACTAGCAAAGGAGAAATTAAGCTCAAGCACTGCAAGTCTGAAGAACAATTAGCAGACATTTTCACACGAAGGAACCTTGAGGTAGGCAGCAACCTATGAGAGCCCTCATGGAGGGGGCTACTTGTTGCTAGAGTGAGAGCTACCTAGTGTTAAGCCACTGAGATGCTGCTGTGGAAGTGTGATKGTATGTTACAGTTGAAATTTGTTATATGGTAAGGTGGGAATCTTAGAAAGAACATTAATTSTACGAAGTTCTATGGTCATTTTCATTCAATGTGTCAAAAATGGAACCAATCAGTGAACTAGGAATGAGAATGGTTCCCGCTAATCTGCATTTGATTTGCTTGAGGTCGGACATTAGAAAAAGGCAACACACACACACATAGATATGTAAACTATGATACCTAAATACTGTATATGGGTGTTGTGCCATGTCTAGTGCTCTAGTTTTTAGTGTAAATTCAGTTTCTGACACTCTGTCCAGCTGTTTCCTTGCCATATCTGGGAAACATAGTATATAAGTTGACCTGCCATCGAACAAGAAGTTTGTACTAGTTTTCATAGTCATAATGCYAGGTTTATAGATTCCATCTGGTTAAGAAACTAGTTTGGTTCAATAACTATATAACTAGAGGAATTTGTCCTAGTTCATATTTGCTTCAAGCCTCCCGACTGGGTTGCTAAAACATTGGTGTCATCTGAATAYCAGAATGGCAAAATAGGATCTATGTAGCCAACCCCAAGTATTTGGTACAAGGCTTCACTGAAGATGATGGAACATTATATGTGTAGATCATATATGTTCATGTATATGACAATCTACCAATGTTTTAAAATGCGGAGGCGTGACGTGAGACATTCCACTACCTAGAAGCGTGAGGAGTAGTACAGAACGCAAGAGGCGTAAACCTCCCGAACACAAGGAGGCGTAAGCCTCCTTAAGAGGAGGGGGGTTAGGAGGAGGATGAAGAGTAAGGGGGGATCTCATTTTTTCTTTATTTTTAATAAAAATMTTTTATATTAAGAAGAATAAAGATGCATAAAATTAGTTGAAAGGGGGGGGGGTCTACTTGCAACTGTATTAGAAAATTCAAGGGTGGTGATTGCAATCACCAAACTTCAGGGGAGATTTCAGCAACGGTTAGAAACTTCAAGGGAGGTTTCAGTAATTTACCTTTTTTTCAAATTAACAAAAAAAAATGGAACCATTCTTCCATTTGAGTGGTGGGTAAGCCAATTCAACCATCTAGGCCAATTGGGTGAATCCATGATGTCATAGTTAAATAAAAGATGTAGAAAAAATGGGCCATTTCTCTAATATTTTATATTGATCATATTAAAGAAAAAAGTGTCATAAACAAAAAATGTTTTCATTGATGATCCAAATGAAATACAAATTTTAAAACCAACGAAAAAAATGAAACTGATTTCCTATTTGGTTCAGGTCAGCCGTCAGYAGTTCAACTTTTAGGTCTAATGTGTTAATATTTGATGTCATAATTAAATAATAAAAATTAAAAAACATGATAAAAAAATAAAAAAATGAAAAAATACATAAATTTTGCAAAAGAAAAAAAATCATTTCGGTGCATACCTAATATTGTATATTTATCATATAAACAAAAGCATGTGTCATAAATAAGAATTATTTTTATACACATGGAAAAAAATTAAAAAATGTAATTTGAAGTTAGTCCCTTTTTAATTGCGAGGGTAAAAAAATGTAATTTGAACTATTATTTTTCACCTCATTCAAATCCCTCTCATTAAGTCATATATTTGAGGTACTAACATCCATTCTCTCTCATTATATGATATATTTAAGATATTTTCTCACCAATTAATTATGTTCCAGTACTTTTAACAATATAAATCACATTTTTTTTTCAAAGTTGAACCAAAAAATGAAATTGTCCTTTTGTCTAGGGGGTGGGTAAGGTCAGCCAWWWGGGTCAAATGGGTCATTCCATGATGTCATAATTAAATAATAAAAATTAAAGAAAGATAAGAACACAAAAAATACAAAATATTTGTAGAAAACGTGCACATTTGGGACATCTATAATATAGAATTATTTTGTACACATAGAAATATATACAAAATTTAAAATAATTTGGATGTATATTACCATTTTCATCATCTAAAATTGTCACGTGCAAAGCATVTGCAAATTTACTAGTAATACATAAATGCTCAAATGGCACATGGGGGCTAATTCTTTCTTTTCAAATTTGATACTCATATTGCTTCCATTCTTTCTCTTCACCTCTCTTCCTCCGGTCTCTGGTCACTTAGCTGTAGTTTCATTTATAGTGAACACTCAGAACTTGAGTCTTGTAATTTATTCATTTAACCCATGCATGATCTTATTAGCATAGTAGAAAGAGGTAAAAGGAAACTTACCATTTTATAATTTTCTTTCCATTTTTAACATGCTTTTTATTTTAAATTTATGTTTAGTCATTGTAACTCATGTGTCTTTGTCATCTTCTTTATAGTAATCTGCTATCTGCTTTCCACTACAATGTTGTAACATTTTATCATCTTTCAAATGMAAAATGGCTTTATGGTTATTAATACCTACAAGTTTTCTTACTGAGCAAATTTGACATACTCCATGTGCCATTTCATCAGAACAGATGAAATAGTTATTAATACAACAAATGACTCATATATCACTAGGTGAGTGCCAATGTAATAACATTCATCATGAACGACTATAAAATAATTTTTGATAATGATACAACATCCTTTAAATGTTGTATTGCTGCATACTTTAAGGCAAGGTAGTAGCATAATATTGATTCTATCTTGTTTGCAAGTGTTTAATATTAGAAAAGAAAGACATTATTTAATGAAATGTGCATTTACATAGATTTATCKGCACAAGTAGCAGTGGGTCACATAGATCTTTCTCAGCAAACCACCAGTTTTGGTATTGATTAGTCATCATCTCATATGTTTCTATGTACTTCTTTTTGAAAAAAATTAATGATTTGGTTACTATGTTACATTTATAGGACAATTAATATTGTTGATAGGGCTATAAATATAGGACAGTTAATATTGTTCGTAGGGCTATAAATAGATTGAATTTGAATCAAATCTTATCCATCGGAATAGAAATCAGGATGGTCTTACATGAATCAGGAACCTCTATCTTGGCTTGAGGGAATAAATGTAGTTGTCGTTGATCCTCCTAGGAAAGGGTTGGGCCAATCTCTTATCAATGCATTACAAACTTTAGAATAATCTAAGCATAAAGCTGCAACATCTAAAAGTTGTGGAGAGTGGAGGAAAGGTTTGTGGAAGCTGCAAGATGGAGAAAAGCTTTGAAGATTGAAGTGAAAGATTTCATCTTTGAAGAKATAAGGATCAAAGGGTTGCAGAATTTGATGACCAGGGAGGCAAAGAAATCCATGGTGCTGCTGGAAGGTGCCGAAGTGATTTAGTGGCTTCTGAAGTTTGTAATGGGAGCAATCTCTAAAGGTAAGCAGTTGAACTATATGGATTTCGACTTAGATGGAAGAAAGAGATATGAGCTGGAATGCAAGAAGAATGCCAAAGGTCTCTACATTACACTACAGGAGTTTTTAGGAGGAAAAAAGAAGCAGTTTTCTTCCCAGAAGGTAAAAGAGGTCAAGGCTGGAAGGAAGTGGCTGAGCTATTGAGTGACTTTGTACTCTGGCTGAAAACAAAACAAACATAAGCTTTAGAAGGGCAAAGAGAAGTGGCTAGATGAAATGGAAAGGAAGAAACCACTAAAGAATTTTGTAATTGTGGAAAAGGGAAGAAGCTGTAAACTGATAGCCAAAGGAGGAAAGGAGTGGGGGAAGAAATATGTGGTGGAAACATCAAACCCACCAAAAGACTGGAAAAGGATTGCACAAGCGATACCAAGAGAATTAAAAGTGACAAATCTGATTGTTATTACACATTATGAAACATGCAAGGCCTTGCTTGATCTGGGTGAAGTTAAAGACGAGATCTTGGCATTAAATTTCAGAGGTTGGTGCTTTCACAGTTTCGACATGGTGTCCTCTTTCAAACACCAAAAGCTTTGGGGTTGAGGATAATTCTATTGTCTGGTTGCTTGGCCTGTTGTTCAATCTTTGGAAGGAAGAGTTGCTACAGTCAATAGCTCTAATTTGTGATGTCAGATTAGACGATTCGAATTTGAGATTCGACTTAGGTGTAATTTTCCAGTTTTGCCCACCAGTTTCCAAGGCTCAGAGCATAACTGTAAAATGGTTCAAGTTCAGTGTTTCAAACAAACACACACTACATGTGCTTCATGTCTAACCTTGGCAGCTGAGACAAGTTACCCCAACCTACTTGGCAGCAGCACATTATTGTCAGCTTTGGTGGATAAACTCCCCCAAATCTATCCAACGGCTAACAATATTCTAAACTAACACAAGTCTCATAAGTGTCCARTTTAAGGGTAATTACACATAAACACACCAAATATAATATGAATCAATTATGTACTTTTATTCATTTACAATAAATGCATCAGTACATCAATCTGATTGGAGCTAAGGGCATACATTGTCTAACAGATCTATACTGGGAAAATCAAAGGTAAAATGTTCATAATGCAGCTGTATATCATTTTTCTACCCCCTTATTCAGTCACATAAATTCCATGAAAAGTACTGTACTACAAGAAAACAAAAAGGCACTGCTTAGGTTCTGTCTTTTACTTATGGTTTCAATAAGAACCGGTCAAAATGGCTTGGTGCAAGAGTCGCCAACCCATTCCACAGATTTGCAAGACCTCAAGCA